CCAACAGTAGCTAAAGCTCCGATTTACTTTCGGGTTTAGAGCTGAGCTTTAGTTCGTTTACCGGCTCAAGCCCTTGACTCCGTTGGCGAGCTTTTGATTCCAAAATTCATTCATTCCATTTGCAGACAAATATTTCTCATTCATCACTCATATTCCTACTCTCTATCGCCACAGTATGGAGATTTTCGACGCGCGAATGTTGCCTAGCTGCGAGTGCTTGGCTCTTACTTCACTTTGCTTGTTTGGGTTTTGCCAGCTATTTTTTCAGTCTACTCATCAATCATAGCAATGGTTTCTATGGAAGATGCTAGTCGCAGCTATGGCTTATAGGCCATGGGCTATATATGCTACAGACGAGGCAAATTTATTTGCTTGAATTTACACTCAGTTCTTGGTTAGTTCAAGCCTCTATGCAACATGGTATGCATATGCTCATAAGATGTATATTCTATATAGAAGTCGGGTCTTGTAACTTAACAGTTCATAGATATTCATGCAATCCAAGTCTTTAACCTGAATCAATGAATCAATCAAGCTATGCACATGATTATGAACAATTTAACTTCAAGTTCCATTGCAGCCTTCCCTAACTCTTACTATTGCCTTCGAATCATATTCTATACTAGAAGAGCAAGCATTGACTTGACTGCTTCGTGCACTTGAGCTCTTGATAATTCTTTCTGCTGCCATCTACTTATCATGCTTCATGTTCGACTTGTTCAGAGTTCGACTTGTTCAGCTCTCTGCTTCCAGCTCTTCAAACAATTTTACAGTATATAATCTGATGATAGCTAACGGCTATTGATGCTTGTTATTGTTGCTGTTGTTGTAATAAGCGCAGTTATAGTAAGTTTTGCAATTGTATCATCAACCAACTGTCACGCACACACAGAGAGAACTGTGAAAAATCAACAACTTTTGTGCAAATTCATAAATTTAATTTAAATGTAAATTAATTTTTCGCACATGCAGCACCAGCTGCAGCTGTATGTGTCTGTGTGTGTGTGTGTGTGGCTTTGGCATTGTAAAGTTTTATAAGCTGACTTATCTAACTATATTTCATAAGTCTGTTCGTTTGTGGCTACATCTTATATAGATTGCACTAGCTACGCACCTTTTGAGGCGCCCCCTCGGTCGCCGGTCACATGCCATCCCTGAAAAGTTTAGTTGGCAACGCTTTTTTGGCATTGAAAGTGCAGCAAACGTTTCCGTTTTTAGAACTTTGCCATATCCGGCATTTGCTTACAATTCAAATTGGCTTTGCCAGCCGAACGAACGAGCGAACGGGCAGACACTGACTGGGCCAGAGACGGACAGATGGACTGACTGTAAGATGGCATATTTCTTGGTGCTCTGCTAACTTTTTGCCAGCTGCAAAGTTTTTGCAACTTCAGGTGTAATGTGCGGAAATGCTCACATTTTGTACTACCTCCCGCTCTCTCTCCTCCTCTGCTTAGAACGTTGCGTATACGTACTTTAAAGTAAATATTTATACAGAGACTTGACTTTTAGACAACTGCTTGGCTGTCTTCCTTGCTCACTGTTCTCTCTCTCTCTCTCTCTTTCTCTTTCTCTCTTTCTCTCAATCTTCCTCTCTCTGTCTCTGCTGCATATGTAAATTTGCTTAGACTGGCAAATCAATATGCCTCAGCACAAGTGTCACTTTTTGCACCGTTGCTGCACTGGTTTATATAATTTGATTGTATGCACACACACACTCACACACGCACACACATATACACACAGTCATGTGCACTTCCTTGCAGCTTGTGAAAAAAGCTTGTTTTAGGTTTTTAGTTCTGCATAAAGCTAACAAGAAATGCATCAACTTGACTCCATTGTTTGCCAGCTGACAATGCAAAATTGTGTTTTGTCCATATACATATTTATATAGATTACATATATCCATATATATATATATATGTATTTCTTATCTAACCTGTGCTTGGCACTCGAAACTGTTTCACTTTTGTAAATAAAAACAATTAAAGTTTATAGTGCTTTGTTTAATTTAATTGAAAAAGTTATCAAACCTTTTTCCACTCCAGCAGGCAGCAGTGCATTTGACCACTTGAGTCTGAGCACAGATAAAAATTTATAATCAATTCAAGTATTTGTTACATTTTCTCACATACGCAAATAAATTGTAATTCAAGTGGCAATTCAATTTGCTCTAAATTTGCATACCCTGCAATGGAAGCAGGGTATGACAAGCAATGATAGGCAGCAGCCTCAGCTGCTGTCATAGATGAGCTCTTATATCAAGTTTTTAGCATAGTTTTCTTTCTATATAGTATATATATAAATAAATAAAAATATATTCAGTTAGTGTTCAATACAGAAATTATTTATAATAAACTATTATCTATAATTTTATTCAACTTTTTTGCTAGCTGATTCATGATTTATAATAATTATATCAAGACTTATGTCTTTCATCTATATAAACATTAGCTTCCACTCTCAACTATAGCATAACTGTACGCCTATTACACTTTCTCTTTAACACGTTTGATTCACCTGTCATTTACACCTGTGCAAAAGGCATGCCAAGCTGCCTTAGCACAATTCAGGTGAAGTACGTGGCCAATTATTAAAAGCACTTGAGTGCAGAATCAATTGTGCTTTTGGATTTTACAAACACGTTATGAAATGCCGTCCAATCTTAAGTGCATTATATCAAAAGCTTAATCTTATAGCATATATATCCCTTTCACAATTCAAATCAAGCGGAAATGGTTGACTGCAGCGACCCCCTCAAGCAAATGCAGATGCTTAAAAATAATTCTGAGCTGATTAAAAAACAAAGCAACTTGACGTGTTTTGTCGGCAGAAATAAATATGCCAAGTGAGCGAAGCTTAGGCGGCAGTGAACGACTAGCAGATACCTGAGCTCTGAGCGCTAGACGCAAAGTTATCAATCCTTTTACATATAAACCTATAGCCATGACTGCATCTCATTTGCTTGGATGGCTCAGACACGCCTTCATCTGTCATCTTTATCCCAACCAATATACCCCTTTCTACGCATTTCCTTCGAGTATAAAAATAAGGCAAATTTTTGCAAATGGCGTACAAAGTGCGCTACGATAAGCTCCAAGTATAGTCGACAATTTATGCCAGATCGTAAAAATCTGAACGACTTTAATATAAATTTATCTGTCTATTTATACACGGGAATTTGGGCCGTAATCTGTGCCGTCGATGGCTGTAAATTGAGCGCTGACATCCGTCTAATCAGCTGTTTAGTATGCTATGATTTGTGATTTGCCCCCCCTCGCTCGGATACCTAGCTATCGCTGTCCCTTTCTTGCTCACTATCTCCCTTACTTTGTCTGCCGATTCGGGCTCCCCTGTGACGAATTGGCTTTAATCTTGGCTATTCGCTGATAGACAGCTATTTGTTTATTGGCCATATTATGTTGCGCGAAGACGGGCCAAGTCCGCTTAACACTAAAAGCATTATCACGCGATAGTTTACGCAGAGATAAGCTGGGAACAACACGTCAAACTGTTTTGCACGCTTAGGAGCTGTAAGGGGTCGATGCAGGTTGAACTAGCCTTAGAATCATGGTTGAAATACTTGCTTGAATGCGCGGCTTATAACCAGTGTTGGTTAACATTATAAGATTGATGAACAAACAATAGTAGACAGAGGATAGAGAATAGACCAAAAAGAGCAGAGAGAAGAAGAAGAAGTAGAGAATGGAGAATAGAGAATAGAGAATAAAGAATAGAGAATAGAGAATAGAGAATAGAGAATAGAGAATAGAGAATAGAGAATAGAGAATAGAGAATAGAGAATAGAGAATAGAGAATAGAGAATAGAGAATAGAGAATAGAGAATAGAGAATAGAGAATAGAGAATAGAGAATAGAGTAGAGAATAGAGAATAGAGAATAGAGAATAGAGAATAGAGAATAGAGAATAGAGAATAGAGAATAGAGAATAGAGAATAGAGAATAGAGAATAGAGAATAGAGAATAGATAATAGAGAATAGAGAATAGAGAATGGAGAATGGAGAATTGAGATTAGGCTATGGAGTATGGAATAGAGAATTGAAAATGTAGATGATTCTACATTAATTAAAAGTTGACTGTTTCCGTAGTAAGCACTCTTATTGCTATATATTATTGTTTTTGTGTATCAATCTAGTATTGCTTACCAACACTGGTTATATGTATGACAGTACAGAAAACATTCAAGAGTTCCTTCCAACTAGATGACTGAGTTGCAGCTGATACTTTATGAAATTCATATTTAGATTATGAAACGATGCTAAAGGCTTCGAGTTGCCACCTTGTTGAGTTTTATGGGAAAAAAGTGGAGTCTAACGCTAATATTGGTGTATCTCACTGAGCACTTCTTGAACTTCCATAAGGTAGTAATGTTTGTAATTAAATCCTTGTCCAGCTTCAAATATAATCCATTTTTGAGCTGTACAATTAGCTTGAGGCATAAGAAGTTTTCTAAAAGATGGCAACGCCAAATTTTTAATTATAAAAAACTTTAAACTGAGTTCTTGTACGACTAAATATTTTATGAAAAATAACTTGTAATTCTTGCTCTCAACGGTGCAAAGAGCTTAAAGTATATCAATTTCTAAAAAAGGTGGCAACGCTTAATTCTTAACTAACAGGCTTATAGAACAGCCCTTTATTTATTAGCTCAGTTACGCGTTTGAAATTTATAATTATCTAATTAGCTATCTGTGCGAATGAACAAGAAAAACTCAACAACAATTGAAAATTGAATTTTCGATCATAAATTTGAGTTATTGTTTATCGATCGGGCAGGTAGCAGTGTGGCCCGTCGATCGAATCTAATCTAAGGCAGACCCCATAGGTTGGCTGCACGCGAAACTTGTTGACATAAGTCAAGTGCGATAAGTAAACAATTTGCATCACAAATCATTCGAGCTTCACGTACTATCAGGAATTTTCAAATGAATGTTTTACCTGTTGCAGGTGAGCAACGTATAAAAGGCCGGCGAGCGTCTTCAGTGAACTCAGTGTGGAACTGGATTCTATTGAAGTATAAAGATGTTTCTGAGCAAAGCATTGGTTGCCATTGCCTTCTTGGCGCTGGTCAACGCGCAGTATTGGCACAACTATAAGAGCGGCAGGAATGGCATGGTTCACCTGTTCGAGTGGAAGTGGGATGATATAGCAGCTGAGTGTGAGAACTTCCTGGGACCGCACGGCTACGGTGGTGTGCAGGTGAGACACGAAACCTAGATGATAATTATAACAACAGGTAGCTTGAATAGACGTCTGTCCACTCGCCTAGGTCTCGCCTGTCAATGAGAACGCTGTGATTAGCTCTCGTCCCTGGTGGGAGCGCTACCAGCCCATCTCCTACAAGCTCACCACACGTTCGGGCAACGAGCAGCAGTTCGCCAGCATGGTCAGGCGTTGCAATGATGCTGGCGTGCGCATCTACGTGGATGTTGTCTTCAATCATATGGCTGCTAATGGCGGCACTTCGGGAACTGGCGGCACCTCAGCCGATCCCAGCTCCAAGAGCTTCCCGGGTGTGCCGTTCTCCTCGCTGGACTTCAATCCCACCTGCTCGATCACCAACTATGCTGACCCCACAAACGTGCGCAACTGCGAGCTGGTCGGTCTGCGCGACTTGAATCAGGGCAATTCCTGGGTGCGCGACAAGATCGTTGACTTCCTGAACCATTTGACGGACTTGGGTGTTGCCGGTTTCCGTGTGGATGCTGCCAAGCACATGTGGCCTGGAGACTTGGGTGTCATCTATGGGCGCCTGAACAACTTGAACACTGCTCATGGCTTCCCCTCGGGCGCCAGACCCTATATCTTCCAGGAGGTCATCGATTTGGGCAACGAGGCCATCTCCAAGTCTGAATATACTGGCATGGGCGCTGTCACTGAATTCCGTCATTCGGATTCCATTGGCAAGGTGTTCCGTGGCAAGGATCAACTGCGCTATCTGAGCAACTGGGGCACTTCCTGGGGCTTTGCCGATTCGGATGCTTCGCTTGTCTTTGTGGACAATCACGACAACCAACGTGGACATGGCGCTGGTGGCGCTGACGTGCTCACCTACAAGGTGCCCAAGCAGTACAAAATGGCCTCCGCTTTCATGTTGGCCCATCCGTTCGGCACACCGCGTGTGATGTCCTCCTTCGCATTCGACAACACCGATCAGGGACCACCCACTACCGATGGCCACAACATTGCCTCGCCCACCTTCAATAGCGACAACTCTTGCGGCGGCGGCTGGGTGTGCGAGCATCGCTGGCGTCAGATCTATAACATGGTTGGCTTCCGCAATGTCGTCGGTGATTCGGGGCTCCAGAATTGGTGGGACAATGGCAGCAACCAGATCGCCTTCAGCCGTGGCAGCCAAGGCTTCGTCGCCTTCAACAATGACAACTACGATCTGAACAGCTCGTTGCAAACTGGCCTCTCCGCCGGCACCTACTGCGATGTCATCTCTGGCTCGAAGAGCGGCTCCAGCTGCACCGGCAAGACCATCACAGTTGGCTCCGATGGACGTGCCAATATCTATATTGGCAAGTCCGAGGGGGATGGCGTCGTGGCCATTCATGTCAATGCCAAATTGTAGACCCGCAAAATATCTCCTGCACAGCTTTTATCTTTTTTACAACGAGATTATATTTTGAGCATATATACCTATATATATATAAGTTAACTTATAACACTTAGTTAGCTTATAACACTTAATGTAAGGTATTATTCAACACTTATTATCGGGTGCTAGACAAGTTAAGGAACAGCCCTGGCAAGGGCAACTCTACTTACGCCGGTGAGGCTATGATTTGTAAAAATATAGATCAGTCTCGTGTTTTAACTCGTACTGATAGGACATGCTAAAAATTGGTGTCATATAAGTAAAACTAAAAATAGTGAATATAATAAGAAAAACCAATAAAATTAACTGTTTCGATTATTCAAAAAAGAACAATTAAAAGCAGGGTTAAAAAGCGTTCTTCCAGTAAACCGCTTAAATAAATATTCACTCCGTCATTTGCTCGTTAAATGGCTTATTTCATTGTCTGAGCCCGAGGCCAGCAATAAGAGGCACAGTCGCCTCTCAACCTAACTTTCAGTCACCACAGGACTGGAAAACATATAATTGGCGCCCAACTAGTGGTCGGACTCCACAACCAACAACAATTAAGACAGCAGCGCGGGAGCTGCAATTGACAGATCTTATAAAGGGATTTTTTTTTTTTTGTTTTGTGTTAGTTGAATCTTGTAAGTGGATACTCTAGCCAAAATTTTTCTTCAAACACAAAAAGTGTTAAAATTTATTTTATAAAAAAATACCTAGGACTAGCGAGTATTTTATATTGCAATTGCATGTAAAAAAAAAAAAAAAAAATTAATGATCAGAACCAAGTGAGAGTGACTACTTTGGGAATTTTAGTGGCAGCAATTGATCATTCAGATCGTCAATAAAATTACATTGTGTTACTTTCTGTGTGTCTGAAGTTGTGCATGCAGTTCTCGTAGTTCAGAGCTGTGACGTAATTCGACCCATCTTCTGACGGCCCGTTTTATTTTTCGCGACCACTGACTTGCGCATGTCTCGGTTCAACCAATATAGAAACCCTCGCAGGCAGTCTAGCGACTCAGATTCCGACTGTGTAGTTCCCCCACCATCAGGTAGAATGGATGCAGATCAGCTTACGGAAATAATAAGGACGGCTACTAGCAAAGCTTTAGCCGAACAGGCCGCTGTAAACCAGCAGAGGGAACATGTATTAACTCAACGAATTAATGAGTTAGCTGAACAAATAGCGGTAGCAAACGTTGCCGCCCCACAAGTAGTAGCGTATGCTGCTATAGGAATTAGGAACGATATTCACTGTGACGAGCCACTAGATGCCGTCAAATGCTTACCTGAGTTTGCAGGGGTACAGGAATCGTATGTATCTTGGAGGCAGGCAGCATTAGCCACTTACGAGATCTTCAGACCGTATAATGGCAGTTCTCGTCATTATCAGGCCGTCATCATCATAAGAAACAAGATTAGGGGCCCCGCAGACGCGGTGCTAGCCTCATTTGGTACTGTGCTGAATTTTGATGCGATAATAAATCGCCTAGATTTCACATACAGTGATAAGAGACCAATTCATGTCATTGAACAAGAATTAAGTACCTTGAGGCAAGGTGGCCTGTCCCTGCTTCAATATTATGATGAAGTAGAGAAGAAACTCGCTCTTCTCACAAACAAAGTTAATATGTCATATGAGCCGGCTTTAGCAAAGGGCCTATGTGAAAAATTCCGCGACGATGCGTTGCGTGTGTTCATATCGGGTCTCAAGCGCAGTCTAACAGATGTGCTCTTTGCAGCAAAGCCCAGAGATCTGCCTTCAGCGCTAGCTCTCGCGCAAGAGGTCGAGTCGAATCACGAAAGGTACTCATTCGCGGCTAATTTTGCAAAAAGTCTTGAAGACAAAGAGCGCAAGCCGCATGCAAAAGCGCAGGGTCACCAATATGAGAGGTATTCGCATCAAGCCGAAAGACAAGCTAGCGGTACAAAGAATCCGCACTTTAGCAAGCAAAACAGGGCCCCATTTCGGACTGACCCACGAAGCACCAGGCAGCACAACAATAATGGCGCACCAGTGCCCATGGAGGTCGATCCTTCCTTTTCAAGGGTAATGCAGCCCACTCAGGCCCTTGCTTACGCGAACAAGAAGCACCCCGCATCTGACCGCACAGGCGGTCTGAGAAAGCAGCAAAGGTTGAATCACGTCACGCAAGGCGCGGGACAGGGGGCAGAGGTGTGTGCTGATGCTGCCTCCAGCGCAGCGGCACAAATCAATAACGTTACTAGTTATAACTCTGATGCCCTTAATTTTTTAGGAGTAAATCCCTTCTACCCGTCATCAGACGAAGAGTAGGAGGGACTCACATGCAATTCCTCATAGACACGGGCGCGGCCAAGAATTTCATTCGGCCACATAAAGGGTTGAAAGGCGTCCGCTCGGTAGAGTCCCCCTTCAAAATTCACTCCATTCACGGCGAGACACAAATTACACACAAATGCTTTGTTTCAATGTTTGGGTTAAAAGCAACTTTTTTTATTCTGCCGGACTTATCAACCTTTGATGGGATTATAGGCCTTGACCTGCTAAAGCAGGCATCTGCTTCGCTTTGTTTAGCTTCAGGACAACTTAAGTGGGGCACGGAGGTCGAACCAATCACCTTCCACAAATGCAAAAATGTAAATTTCACAAATGTAGACTGTGCAGACGCATCCCCATTAGTTAGAAGTTCTTTTTTGAAAATGCTGAAGACCAGACAAAAGGCCTTTGCAGACCCAGACGAGGCGTTGCCGTATAACACATCAGTCGTGGCTACCATTAGGACTACAGACGAGCAACCGATCTATGCCAAGCTTTACCCATATCCAATGGGAGCGGCTGATTTCGTTAATAAAGAAATCAAAGATCTACTAAAGAATGATATAATTCAAAAGTCCGTCTCTCCCTACAATAACCCAATATGGGTAGTAGACAAGAAGGGCACTGATGAAGCGGGCAATAGGAAAATGAGGTTGGTAATGGACTTTCGTAAACTTAACGAAAAAACCGTGCCGGACAAATACCCTATGCCAAATATATCAATGATATTGGGGAATTTGGGGAGAGCCAAATTCTTTTCAACATTAGACCTCAAGTCTGGTTATCACCAGATCATACTCGCTGAACGCGACCGTGAAAAAACCTCTTTCTCTGTGAACGGGGGGAAATACGAGTTCAAAAGACTCCCCTTTGGATTAAAGAATGCAGCAAGCATCTTTCAAAGAACCATCGACGACATACTGCGAGAGCAGATTGGCAAATTTTGCTATGTTTATGTCGATGACGTAATCATCTTTTCAGAAGATGAGGAATCCCACATTAAACACGTGGATTGGGTCCTAAAAAGCTTACACGAAGCAAACATGAGGGTCTCCGTCGAAAAGTCACGTTTTTTTAAGAAAAGCGTGAACTTTCTTGGTTTCGTAGTCACCAGCACTGGCACCACGACGGATCCTGAAAAGGTTAGGGCAATACAGGAGTATCCAGAACCAAAAACGCTGTTCGAGGTTAGATCATTTCTAGGCCTCGCAAGTTATTACAGATGTTTCATTAGGGACTTCGCCGCAATAGCAAGACCCATCTCGAATATCCTGAAGGGTGAAAATGGAACAGTCAGTAAGCATAGGTCCAGAAATATAAAGGTTCAATTCTCTGAAGTGCAGCAGAGGGCATTTCAGAAGTTGCGCGATATTTTGTCATCCGAGAATGTAATGCTCAGGTACCCCGATTTTAAGAAGCCATTCGATCTAACGACCGAGGCTTCGGCTCACGGCATAGGTGCAGTTTTGTCTCAAGAGGGTCGTCCTATAACAATGATTTCAAGAACATTGAAGGACAGTGAGGTTAACTATGCAACCAATGAGAGAGAGTTATTGGCCATTGTATGGTCACTTGCCAAATTAAGGCACTATTTGTATGGGGTGAAAGACATTAATATCTTCACTGACCATCAACCCTTGACCTTCGCAGTTTCGGAATCTAATCCAAATGCGAAAATCAAAAGGTGGAAAGCGCGCATTGACGAGTCTAATGCACGTATCTTCTATAAACCTGGCAAGGACAATCTGGTTGCGGATGCCTTGTCAAGACAGCAGCTCAACGCTATAAATGAGCAAGAAATTGAGTCCTGCGCAGCAACGATCCACAGTGAGGTATCTCTCACCAACACCATTGAGACGACAGACAAACCCTTGAACTGTTTTCAAAACCAGATAGTGCTAGAAGAGGCGCGTTTCCCCTTAAAACGAAGTTTTATTCTTTTTGGAAATAAGAAACGCTACTTGATCAGCTATACATGCGTCGAATCGCTGCTAGACGAGCTCGAAGATGTAGTCTCACCCAAATGCGTAAATGCTCTCCACTGTAATTTACACACGCTTGCAATGATACAAGATGCATTGGTGCGAAGATACCCAGCCACAAAGTTCTGGCATTGCAAAAATCGCGTAGTGGACATATTTGCGGTTGGAGAAGGAAGGGAAATCCTCACAGTCGAGCATAATAGGGCCCATAGGTCTGCACAGGAAAATGTTAAGCAGGTACTCTCGGAGTACTACTTTCCACGGATGGCAAAAATTGCCAAGGAAATAGTACAAAACTGCAAAACATGTGCTAGGGCTAAGTATGATAGACACCCCAAAAAACAAGAGCCACAAGAGAAGATAGAAGAAAAGATCAGAAACGCTCAGACGACGCTCAGAGCTAGGGAGAACGCAAAGCGGCAGAATAGAGTCTTCGATGTTGGTGACAAGGTTTTGGTCAAGTCCAACCGACGGCTCGGAAACAAACTCACACCTTTATGTGTCGAGAAGGCCGTGGAAGCAGACCTGGGGACCGAGGTCCTCATTAAAGGAAGGGTGGTCCACAAGGACAACCTAAGATGACTCCCTTGTTTTTTTTTATTACACCTTTTTTTTAAGCCGCTAGGCAATTTCGAATAAGTTAGATATAGTTTTCTATTTACCTTTAGCCACTTGGCATAGTTTTTATAAAACATTTTGGTGGCGGGTACACCCGATGCTGGTGATTTAGAGCAGACTAGGTCCACTGAAATGCGACTAATGAATGCCAACAGTAGACGGA